ATCACCTTTCGGTCTTTCTTATTTGCCGTTATGACGGGCGCGCGCGCGCGAATTGTATCTCCGTTGAAGAGGAATCCGTCTCGTACGTAAAGAGAGAACGTAAAGATAAAGATACATTTGCTATTGAGAATAATCCTAATCCTTCGCCACCGGGTCGGCGGCGTGATGAGCGCGCGTGAATCATTCGTCGTATGTATTTTTTACGAGTCGCTCATCGCGAAGCGCCTCCACGAAAAAACTTGGTTTCGATTCACCGCGTCGCGGAAGATCGAACGCGGTGAGAATCCAAATCCGCGAAGACGAGCTGTTGAATAATCGTCATTATCCGGCACATTCGATCCGGCGGCGGAATACGCCGCGCGTGCATGACGTGAATGTCAAGTGAGCGCGCGAGCAGCAGGCGGCAACTAAGACGGAACTTTGCTGGCAGGTGCATGCAAAATCGAACGTATCGCCGTTGTTCAATACGCTACATTAGTTAATAACGCGCGCTACGAAGGATGACACGAACAACAAGAGCGAGCGGACCGGCCGCGCTGCTGCAGCCGCGGCGTCGGAGCGGAAGCTGAAACTGCGGTGCGTCGCGTCGCGACATAAATATTAATCGCGCGTCTGAGAGAGCGAGCGCGCGCGAGGTCGCACATCTCGTGGAGCCGCGGAAACGCCCGCCCCGCGGTAGAAGAGGCGCGCAGTAAATAATCAACTGTCAAATCCCGTGCCGCGTGCGGAAGGTCTCTCGAGGCCTTCGCACACGCGGTACCGCGGTCGATACCGACGGGTTAGAGTTTGATCGACCGGCAACATGCGCGCGAACATCGAGCGGCGCCGCCGCCTCTTTCGAAATAGACGTTCGACGTTTTTACGACGGCCTCGCGACGTTTTCGGCGCCGAATGAATGGGACGTCGCCGCCACGTGTCGCTCGCGACGTGCGTAGAAATTCAATTCGCCAAATTGCACACTCGACTCCGAGGAAACGTAAACGCGCGCACTTTTTCGAAGCGAGCTGGAATGATGATTCATCGGAGGCTACGTGGAGGAGGAGACTCGGCTCCTCGCTCCTCCTCGCGTACGTATAATCATACCGTACATCGTCGTCGTCGGCTCTCGCGTGAGATCTCGCGAGGATCTTCGCGTGAGAGACAGAAAAGTCCCGGTCGGTTTATTTGTCCTGTTGCCGATGCGCCAGGCGCTTTTTCTCGCTCGCCGCGCCGCGAAACATATACCGTCGAAAGATAAACGTTACGGTATACGATAAACACGTTTCGCGGTCGAAGATATACATATATATGCGATAACAGACGGAATTTGTTTTCGGGTAACGTTGAACGCTAACGCTAACGCGGCCTTTCGCGATCTCACTTTCGTCACGTTTTGTGTTAAACAGCTCGGAGTTTAATTCTCAGCGATACGAGGTACTACGAAGTGCTGCACGCGGATTCTCGCTCGTCATTATTCCCGAGACGCGCGATAACACTCGCGCGCAAGTCACAGACGTTCGTGGAAACTGATTAATCGCGTGGTCACGACTATTTAGGATAAAGCGATAATTCGGAGCGGCGTGACTCGTGCATCGCGCACTCCGCGCGACCGAGACGACTTTGATTGCGCAAGGCAGACGGATCCGCGAATGGCAGAGAGAGAGAGAGAGAGAGAGACACTTGTTTAAAGTGCACTTCAAATGCCATAGATTGACTAATACACACGGAATTGTCCGCCGTGTCGGCGAAACAATCGACGATTGTTCCGCGGAAGCTGCAGTATGCGACGAAGACGCGTTCTCGCGAAGCCCGCGGCACGAATCTCTGGCTTCGACATTGCAGCGAACGAGCGAAAGCAAATAACGGCCGTACGAGGAATGCGAGTCGCAGCGTGCGCGTTACACGATATATTTCTGGCGATCGTATTTACGCGCGCGCGGGAAACATTCATACATGCGTGATCACGTGAGCGCGCACAAGCGTGAACGATAAAAAATATGTATGCGCGCGCGCGTGTGTGTACGTGCGAACGATTAACAGCGATCGTGCGCTCATGATAAACACACACTTGAACGTGTGGCGACTGGCGACGAGAAATAATTATGAGAAAGAGCGTAGCGGACGTGCGTGTGTGTGTGTGTGCGCGCGCGCGCGCTCGTCCTGTTCACACGCACACGTACGCGCGCGAGAAACAAACAAGCTCGTCCCGCGCACGTATGCGCACGTGCTCTGCCGATGGAAATTTCCACATTCGCTCCGCGCGACTCGATCTCGCGCGCTCGGGAAAACATCGGATTTCTCCGCGCGCCGCAAGATAGACGATTAGTCGTCGCTGACGACGATGAAGAATATAATTCGGTGATAGCGAGCGCGCGCGCGATTGCCCCCCCGTCGCCGGTGCGTGTATACCCGCCGCGATGTGTTTGCCGTTGGTTGGAAGCGGCAATAAAACACGCCATCGCTGTTTGGCCGCGAAACGATAAAAGCGCGAAACCCGGAATGACGAGGAGAGAGCGCCCGGAGCTCGCCGAAACAGCGAGAGAGAGAGAGAGGGAGGAGAGAGAGAGAGAGGGAGAGGAGAGAGAGAGAGAGAGAGAGAGAGAGAGAGAGAGAGAGAGAGAGAGAGAGAGACGCGCGCTCGCCGCTCGCTAACGCGCGAGTGTCCCACGCGGCGACGCTTCTTTTTCATTAATTAAGTCCTCAATTCCGCAAGCGGATCGGCATCCATGTGTGACACATCGTCAGCAGGAATGAGAAAAAGAAAAAAAAGTTGTCGAGACTGAAGAAATCGGTCAACATGCCGGGAGGCCGCGTAATAATGCTGGATCGCTTTGAACGCCGATCTTCGAACCGACATTTTCGGCCCACGAAATCCGATTGAAATCGCGTGAGACACCCGTTACAAACGGGTCTGATGATACGCACACCGCAGCCGAGCTGCGTGTGCGTGCGTGCGTGAGTGAGTGAGTGAGTGAGTGAGTGAGTGAGTTTAGCGTACCGTCGCTTTCCATTGTCTCTTCTGCAAGACGGATGGCGCGATGGCGGGCACAATCGCTGAGTAACTTTGAATCGCTGATCCCTCCCGCCCTGCCTTCTCTCCCTCTGCACCCTCGGCGATTCTACCATCCGCGTGACGATAAAATTTCGATAATCAGTCGCGGCCGCGTCTCGATCGATCGTCTCAACGGCGCGATATACAAAGGTTAAAAGCTCTCGGCGCTGTGGTTTACGCAGCGCCGAGTTATCTCCGCGGCGCGCGATAACATCTAGGCAGATTTACGCTCCGAGATGTTTATTATTAAACAACGTTGATTGTTATCACGCGCGCGCGCGCGTGGGAGTTAAGTTGCAGTTTTGCTGTAATTGATGGCGCCGATTGAGCGTCTCGCAAATACTCGCATTTCAATGAATCGCCTTTTTTTTTCTTTTGTAATTCTTCTCCTCTTCCTCGTCTTCTGTCGCAGTCGCCGAACCAGATAGCGGTTTGAGTTTCATGAGTCATGAGTACGGGCTTGACGTCAATCCCGATGTCGCTGATTTTATTTAATCGGTTATTTGTCGGCGCGCTCGAGAGCGTTTCTATGCGTCACACACTTCGCTCGAATTATTTTTCCATCACATGACTGTTGAATTCCCACTCCCGCTCCCTGTGATTTATCGTGCCCTAGTAGCGCGCAATATTGTGAACGTTGGAAAAAAGTCATTAAATACGTTGACACTTGTGTCGACAATGCATTGTCGAGGGTTGCGCAATGAGGAGAGATATTGCTGTTTCTTGAAATTTCCTATGCGTAATGCGCGATACGCGCGATTACCGCTTCAACTCTCCCCCGAGTTCTGCTCGCTCGTGTGATTTCAACCTACATTTTCCAGACAAAGGAATCTGCTAACCGCTCTCGACGCACCGCCCGAACGAGCATCTTTGGATTTGCGGGTTTCGAGATGCAATTAAAAGAAATGTTTGCTCGACTGATAGAGAACAATCTAGGTTAAACGACGGCTTTACTTTTTCATAGCACAAATTATCGCTCGAGAGATAGACCGCGGTTATCGGACTATTTTCTATATTTCGTTATCTATCGGTGACACGCGGCGATGAGAGAGAGAGAGAGAGAGAGAGAGAGAGAGAGAGAGAGAGAGAGAGAGAGAGAGAGAGAAGGGTAAAAACTAAATTATTGACTTATGAAACTGGATTCTCTGTTGGTTTTACGATACACACTCGTGGCTCGAATCTCGTGCGCTATGATTTCTTTTAGTGCGTTGTTACACCGTGTTGTTCTACCGATTGTATCAATCGATAAAGGCTCTCGACTATTCCAGTCCAGCGATAACAAACGTGAGACTATCGGCTATTGATCGGAAAAAGCCAGCACGTAGACTACTCGAAATGATCTCGAGTATCGTCGAGATCGCGAATCAGATCGGTGTAACCCAAATGCTCTGGGGTTATTCGCACGTTACGTCTAGCTTGCAGCTGACTTTTCTTGTAGCAACTTTTTCTAGCAACTCAAAGCTCAAATCTCAGAGTCGTCAATCACGCCGACTCTCGTTTATTCGTTATCCTCTTGGAAAGCCTCTTGGAAGAAACAAAGCGAAAGCTCTAAATCAAGGTGGAGCGCATCGAAAAGTGCTTGCAAATCGCCCGTCGAATTTTTAGCCAAAATCCCCTCTATGAATAGCAACGAGATATTTTATGCTATACTCGATGAAATCGACCAGCACTTTCCGTCATATACGCCCGCTTCTCCGTCTGCTGCAAAAAGCGACGATCGCGTTTCGCGCTCGACGCACGCGCGCTATCTCATGATGACGTCGCGGAATTGCCGGCGAGTCGCGCGCTTTCATCATTGTTCACGTCGTCTCGGGTGTGTCGCGCGATTCATTCGCGCGATGCATCGCGCGAATGAATCGTCCTCTCCTCGAGGAATATCGCAGCTTGCGGATCTCCCAAAAGCTGCGGCTCTCAGCGACTAAGAACGACCGACTGTCGCTTAATCGCACCACTCTCCGTCTGCTTCCAGAACGCAGCGTCGACAAAGGCAAAGGAACCATCGTCAGCCGTTGCAGCATTGAACTCCGCTGGGGGTGGCGGCAGCAGCAGCAGCAGCAGCAGCAGCAGCAGCAGCAGCAGCAGCAGCAGCAGCAGCAGCAGCGGCAGCGGCAGCGGCAGCAGCAACAACTCCGGCCACGCGCCCTTACGACGCTACACCTCCCTGATGTCTACGCTAATAGAGCACCACCGGAAGCTGGATCGCAGCGTAAGCGAGCCGACGTCGCGCTACAAGACCGAGCTGTGTCGGCCGTTCGAGGAGAGCGGCGCGTGCAAATACGGCGACAAGTGCCAATTCGCCCACGGCTACAGCGAGCTGCGCAACCTCGCCCGTCATCCCAAGTACAAGACCGAACCTTGCCGCACCTACCACTCGTCCGGCTTCTGCCCTTACGGGCCACGGTGCCACTTTATACATAACTTCGAAGAGGCGCGCATACACAACCAGAAGGTGAGCGCTCAGCTGGGCTCGACGCAACCGAACATAATGAACCTCAACAGCCTGAACCCGTTGCTGAGCGCGGCGGCAGCCGCGGCGGCCGCCGCCGCGGTCGGCAACAGCACCGTTGCCGGCGGCGGGGCCACCGCCGCGAACACCGCCGCGGCCGTGGCCGCCGCCGCCGCCGCCGCCGCCGCCGCCAACAACGTGAGCGTGCGTCTGCTGGAGCAGATGAACGCGTCGCCGCAGGTGGCCGCGGCAGCCGCGGCCGCCGTCGCCGCTTCGCCCAATCTCATGAGAGCGAACTCGCTGAGCCTCGGTAGCAGCAGCAGCGGCGGCGGTGGCGGTGCCGGTGCCGGTGGCGGTGCCGGTGCCGGTGCCGGTGCCGGTGCCGCCGCCGCCGCCGCTGCCGCCGCCGCCGCCGCTGTCGCGGCCGCCAACAACGTGGCCAGCTACAACCCGCCGCCATTACTGCGAACGTCGTCGCTGAGCCTCGCCACGAACCACCACCATCACCATCAGCAGCAACAGCAACAGCAACAGCAGCATCAACACCAGCACCAGCACCAGCACCAGCACCACCACCATCACCACCACGGCGCGCATCATCATCACCAGCCGCCGAGTAGCAGCGCAGTCAACTCGATGATCGGCGCGAGCAAGCCGAAACCACTGAACCTCAGTCCGACCTTCTCGCTCGGCAGCACCGGCGACTCGGTCTCACCATCCTCGAGCCTGAGCCAGTCCCCGACCAACTCTATGGCCAGCTTCTTCAGCAGCGACGAATGCAGCCAGCAGTCCTGCACGAACCTGCCGACGACGCCGTTCAGCTTCGGCCAAGACTTCGGCCTGATCCCGACCAGACAGAGCCCGAGTCCGCGCAACAGCGTCTGCAGCCCGCTCGGCTCTGACGAAGTGGCGCCTAGGACGCCTTCTCCGCTGTCGCCTAACGCCGAGTCTAGGCTGCCGGTGTTCAACAGGATCAGCGGCACCCTCGTGGATTTTGATAACCTCAAGATCTAAGGCGGGACGGTGGACTCGCTCCCGAGGCGGTGAGTCTCGGCCGAGAGAGGGCCGTGATGTCCGCCAGGGAGTGGGACGACAGGCAGCACGGGATCTTCTTCTCGCGGAGGCTGATTTCGAGGCGAATGCAAGTTGCTAATAACGACGGCGAATCCTCGCGCAGCGGATTCTCCTGTCGCCGTGGTGGAACTACTAAGGTTTACTTTCATTTTTACACACACACACACACACACACACACACACACACACACACATACGCATACGCACACGCACGCACGCACGCGCGGGTTCGCCGCGCGACTCTCTGCTTTCAGTCATCGGCTTGTTATTTAAAAGGCGTCACACTCTAGGTCAGACAGGCACACATGTACACGTGCACACATCCACACCCCCAACCAAAACACACGGACACAAACACATTCGATATATATTTATATATAACTCGTTTCTGAAAGAGAGATTGCCTTTTCCTCTGTTTTACTTTCTCCTTTCTTCATATATATTACTCCGTTATAGTCACACGTCTCATGTATTAATTACGTTACTGTCGATACGCTCGTCATCTTATCCTTTCCTCTTGCTCTTTTTCGTGTTCTATTATCGTTAAGATCGCGAACCCAGCGGAAAAGGCGAGTTCATCCCGGTTAGAGGACGGTTTCCGGACCGTCGTCCGATTTAGGCTCTCGAGGAGGATGCATTGGCGTGATCGCGGGGGAGGGGGGGAGAGATGGGAGCGAGGAAACGGGAGCTGCGAGGAGGGGCGACGGAGGGCACCGGGCGCAAGTTTATTCCGAAACGTGACTTCTCCGAGTAAGTTGTTCATTGATCTCACTCGGTCCGCCCTCCCGACGCCTTCCGGTCCACGCGGTTCCTCTGTCCTCCGGCGCATCTTTCGCCCTGTCGATAATATGTGGAGAGCCGCGCGAGTCGGGCAAGTACGGCTCGGTACCGCTGCGCGACCCGGGGCAGGTGAAACGTTGCAATATTCCAAAACGCCAGCTATATTACATTACGCTAAACGTACGGTTACGTTTCTTCGGGTTTCTTCTCCGAAGGAGTAAGGGTGGGGAAAGTTGTCTCGAGAGTGAAAGGAGAGGCGGGAATCAGGACCCCGTCGACGAGCGAGAGAGCGAACGAACGAACGAGCAAGAGAGTGCATGAGTAACGACTGACGTGTGTTTGTGTGTGTGTGTGTGTGTGCGCGCGCGCGCGCGCGCGCGCGCGTGCGTGCGTGTACGTTTTTGGTACGTGTATGTGTGTTGTGTGTAAACGTGTGTGTGTGTGTGTGTGTGTGTGTGTGTGTGTGTGTGTGTGTGTGTGTGTGTGTGCGCGTGTGTGCGTGTGTGATAGAGAAAAATGGAGAAAGGGTTGAAGGAGGAGAGTAAGAAGCAAAGTGAGTGGGGGGGGAGGAAGGAGTGCGTGAGAGAGAAAATGGTAGCCGGGTGAAACCGATTAACGTACTGCGTCTGTTGCGGCAAACGCAGAGAGTTAAATCGTTTACGAACCGGGACGTATTTTATGGGCCTGCGGCCGCTCTTGTCGCTCTTGTTTGTCGGCCTACGGTGATTGTTCGATGCATCGCGAATAAACGCGCACGCCCGGTTGCCCGGCCATGTGCGGCGTGAATTCGCGATGCGTTCCTTCAGTTCCAATAGTTTTACGTTGATATGATGTGAAAACGTGACACGGAGTGCAGGATGCCGCGCGTGTCAAAAGACGCGCCTCTCGTATCCGGCATTCCGTACTCGCTGCAGTAAAAAGGTTTCGTTTCTGACGATTTTCATAAATAGACTGAGAGGAGTTTGAAGTTCTTCTTTTTACATTATATTATTATTATATATTATATTATGTTATATATTATTATTATTATTATTATTATTATTATATTATACGGTTATATTTACAAAGAGCGACTAGATGGCGAATACTGAGATTTTCTCCCTAAGAAGATCCGGAAAGGGAGCGCGCTGTTTCCCCTCGCGTTGGCCGGTTGCCTGACCGCGCGAATAATCGAGTGTCTTCTTATAAACTTCGATCGTCTTCCATGTTAGAATGATTAGGCTATGCGGTGCGAATGATGGGAGAGAATGACAATGTGCGTGCGTGCGTGCGTGCGTACGTGCATGTGTGTGTGTGTGTGTGTGTGTGTGTGTGTGTGTGTGTGTGTGTGTGTGTGGTGTGTGTGTGGTGTGTGTGGTGTGTGTGGTGTGTGTGTGTGTGTGTGTGTGTGAGAGAGAGAGAGAGAGAGCTGGGACGAGATAGACAGAGCCGCACGGTTGAAAGATAATGAGGGAAAATGGTGTGGCTGTGAGCGCACACGTGTGCGTGACGTGTCTCGAAAGATGATAAGCAATATGTGAGCATAAAAACGTGCGACTACGATGACGATAACGACAACGATAAAATGGGTGAAATAATGATGAGTAACGTAATGTTAAATAATAAAAGAGTGCAGATATATATTTTATATAGTAGAGTGTGGATATATTGAGGAGACGAGAGAAAGACATGCAACATACATTTCGACGATCATATCATCCGGAAAATCGTCGCTCGCGTCGATTTGCTCATGGAATGGAGTGTTCTTATCAGATGGAAAAGAAAACGATCCCCTCTCGTCACGAATGCTCGCCGACTGTCCCTTGGCATCCGTGCATGCGCGAAATGCATTCAAACACACGTATATCCCGGCAGATATCATCACTGATTAGTCTTCCGACAAGATGTGCGCTATCACGGTTCGTTGAAATTGAGCAGTTTTAATGTTGCAGACGCCCGTCGAGACGTCGTGTCGGTGACGTGATCGCGTTCGACTAGGTCGATTAACTGTAGTCGCGCTTCAATATCGTGCTGCATTGTACTGTCGTATCAAGCTATTTATTACACCGAGTGTACCTAAGAATTACGAATGTGCACGTTAAAACGGGCGATAACGTGTTTATGTGCGGACCAAGGGTTCCCTTCTATCTTTTCTATACATACATACTAACTATTCTATACACTTATATATTTATTTAACAATTTATAATCATTTCTAACGATTGTACATGTATGTGTGTGTGTGTGCGTGTGCGTATGTACGTATGTGTATGTATGTATGTATATGTATGTATGTATGTATGTCTCTCTGTGTGAGGTGTGTATGCACATATGTATATATGTGTACATTCATCATATATGAGTCATGACGAGAGGGGGGAAAAGAGGGAGAGGAAACGAGAAACTCACTTTGGTTCGATCAGCAGAAAGTAGTGAGCAAACTTCACGATACGCATTTTTCTACGATAATTGTTCTTAACCATTTAACGAAAATGTGATATGTAACTTCGACAAGTACACACAATAGAAATCCTAACACACACATACACAACGCTATTATTAAAAATATTCTATTACGCGCGGATATATGTATGCGTAAATGCGCGTGAGAGTGCTCGTTTATCTGTGCGTGTGTGTATTGAGTGAACGGTCAAGTGAGAGCGATTGAGAGAGAGAGAGAGAGAGAGAGAGAGAGAGCGAGTGAATGAACGAATGAATGGTTGGACGAATGAACGATTGAGTGGATGAGAGTGAGAAAGGGGAGAGGAGGGAAAGAGTAACATAAGAGGCGGAAATCAGAATGTACGCGCGGGCCGAGCGATTTCTCGATGAGATATTCGGCGCGTCTCGCCCAGGACAGAAATTCAAAGTCACGAAGGTGTGACCATCACTCCTTCTTCATCGCGGCGGGTCTCGACGGGAAAACGCCGACCTCGCGTCGTTCCGGCGCGAATTAGAGATAAAACAAAAACACGAGGTGCCTTAATGACGTGGTTTTCGAAAATCGAATACATTTTGTATATAAACACTACACCTTTCCACCCAATATATCTTACAGACAACATGTTTTCATTTAATTTATACTAGAGAACCGCGAATGTTATAAAATTAGTTTATATTATTATATTAATATAAATATATTATTTTTATTAATAATTATTAACTATTATTATATATATGATCATATTACTGCTATTATTATTATTATTACTATTACTATTATTATTATTATATTATAATTATTATCATCATTTTTTGCAAATAATTATCGCACTCCACAATTAGCATTGCTCACATACGAATTTTCCTATCGAAAGTAGGGTTCGGCTGGTTGCTTCTCTTTATTCCCGCCCCTTCCCCCCTCCCCCGACTATTCTTTTCCTTGCGACGATAAACGCATTTTTCACCCCCGCACCTTATACCCACGGCCATCATCGACGCGTTGTCGCGTGTATATCGTCGGTGTTACGTCGATGGTGGCTACCATTGCGTCGCGTTATCATCATTATTATTATTGTTATAATTATTATGATCATTATTGCTATCCAATTATTTAGCAACAACGATCCCGCCATATCAGTCGCAAACGCAATCCTCGTCGCCGTCGTCGTGAAATTAAAATATATACATATATAAAAAAAAGGAGAAAGAACGGAAAAAGTCCCGATCGCGCGTCGCGCGATTCGTCTATAATTAATTCCGTATAGTTTTGCGCTATACGTGAAACTTTGAAACTTTCAGTACACGTCTTGCGTAGTACACAATTCGCCTTAATCGAGACCGGAATCTGAAGGGTGCTTGATAAATCTCTCTCACGGCGAGTCTATTTACCTGAAATCAAGGCGTTTTCTCCCGAAAGAGATTCTCTGTTGAGAAAAAAAAACTCTCTATTTCTAATTAATTATTCGGTGTCATTAGGCGTTTATTGCTACAAACGCGATTGCTCGCGACTGTCGCCGTGTTTCTTACCCGAACTTGCGCACCATCGTGGACGAAGTTCGAGCTCAAAATCGTCGATTTCGTACTCGGGCGTTCCCGCGAGTCTTACGACTCGCGCGATTACAGCCGCTTGGGAAACCGCAATCGGTGCGTCGCGTTGGAGCAACGCCTTGCCAAAGTACAACAACGTGCCGTTGTTGATCGCGCGCGATTAGATATCACCGCGATGACGGAAACAGACGGAGGACTGAAAAAGATGACGACGACAACGACGACAAGTAGAGAGATAGACGAGCGAGGAGTGAAAGTCTCCTCTCTCCTTATACGCAGGCGACAAAAATTATGCGCGGGGCGGCAAACGTCTCTCGTCAGAATCGGTCACGCGCGGTCCGTTGTCTAACGCTCCGTGCCACCCACGACAGAGAAACGTCGTGAGGGATGTAATATCGCAGTCGCGCGACCTCGCCGTGAGGGATGAGGGGGGAGGGCACGCAGAAACGACGACGGCGCGTCTCCCGACACACGTTTTTCCCCTTCCGAAGCAGCGCGGCTGGATGCGTCGATTGGAGTCCCGAGGAGCGTCTTTGTTCGCAATCGCGTCAGACTCAGAATAATGACCGAGCGATGTCGCCGAGATTTCTCTTCCGTGACGAGTTACCTCGCGATGGACCTTCGAAACTTTTCATCTTAGCCGAACTCGCGGGATTACTTTTACGAAATTGGATATACGAGTCTTTACTTCTTTTTCCTTTTCTCTCTTTTTTTTCTTGCTTTTAATTACGCGTGAAGCTAGAGAGGAGAGAAGAATAATGATCCTCTCTCCCTCCCTCTCTCTCTCTCTCTCTCTCTCTCTCTTTTTTTTTTATTTTCGATCACTGGAACGTCGTCGTTGTCGAACTCGGTCGCTCGAATAAATAGTTTTCTTTAGATTTTCACAACACGAGAATGCTTCTCCTTTATTTATTTATTCGCCACGTCGTACGACTGAAGAGAATGCCGTTGTCCTTTTTTTTCCTTTTTTTTTTTTTTCAAATGTTAAACACATTTTCCCCGAATTCGAGCTCTTCTGTCTTATTCGCGTACGTACGAATTCTCCGTTCACGGAGGCTAAAACGGAGGCTGTTAACGGAGAAAAGTGGACCGAATCTTTATTTTTATGCTTTTGATGGTTTTGATGGGTTTACGAATTAGCTTGTGTACGGCTCCCCTTTTCTTGGCGTTAATTTCGTCAATTTCACGACAAAGAAAGTAAAAGTAGCCCCCACAGTTTGATGTATCGATATTTCATATTAAGTTAAATTCCTTCACATTAAGTTAAATTATTCAACGCGATTATGTATTCACCCGCCGTTGAATTGACACAAGAGTTCGTTGAGA